GGGGAAAGTTTGTGCTTTACAGTTAGTTCTGCCCTTTCTCTGGGCCTCATGCCTCTGTCTGTAACCCAGGAGTCTGCCCTAGACCTTCAAGGAGGTCATCTTCAGCTCTAAGGTTTTGAGATCAAAGCCTTTCTGGACTTTCCAAGAGGGCCCTCCCTCCTCCCTGTCCCCATCTCCACTCCCCCTCCCCTCCCTTTTATTTTTCTGCCACCCCGTGTTGCGCTGTGACTGGAACGGCTCCCTGGGGGAACGTGTGCTGAATGAAGTCTGTGCCTTGGGAGCAATTGTGTTTTATTTTATTTTCTTGCTCCTTTTGAAATTTTCAAGGAGAAAAAACCAAATCTGTGCCTGCCCCAAGGAGGGGCAACTTGGAAGGGAGTTAGAAAGAAAGAGATGGGTAATCAAATCCCCTCAGGGCTCCTGCCAGGACCGCTTCCTGCTAGGAAGACTTGACTCTGAGGCGTCCAAGCTGCAAGAGGTCCCTTATGCGACCCCGCCTGGAAGGCTCCAGCTGGTTGTGTGAACTGGGGGAGGTTCCGCTGCTCCTTCCAAATCAGCTTCTGTCATCACAATGTGATTTATGAGCTTTTCCTCTAAAATATGAGAACGTTGGCTCCTGATTAGGTCCTGTAATGGAGGAAGGCAGCGGCTGCAGCATTTCTGATAAATACTATCTCTTTTAGACCACCATCTTGTTACCAAAAAGGTGCAAGAGGTTGACTGCAGATGGATTAAAGTCTTTTTTTTTTCTTTCTTTCTTAATAAGGCGTCTAATGGGGTGTCGGGAGGGTTATTGCTCCCATCTGAAAGCTCCGGGCTTGATTTCTAGCTTAATTGCCACATCCCAGCTGCTAAGACCAGAGGCTGCTTACCTCTGAGCCTCCATTTCTTCATCTGATGTGGCTCCCACCTTAGTGGTGCTGTGCAGAGTATGAGAAGAACATCGGAAGAACTCAGCACAAGCCTGGAACAGATGTGTGCTCTGGAAGTGCTGGGGATTAGTAGGATTATTCTGAGACGCTGAAGAGTGGATGGTCTCAAAGTGAGTGGGAAACTATTTGGGAAGCATTTTTATAATTATGTGCTGATATGGCAGGGCTTGCCCTTGGAACAAAGACATCTCAATCCAGTTCTACAAGTAGGCCATGTCATAGGTGTACCTGCATAGTTTGTTATAGTTCCTAGAACAAAATGTGACCTCAGACAAGCTCCTGGTTTTGGTTTACACAGAGCCTTGGTTTCCTCATCTGTACAAATGGATAACAATAATATTCATGTCTTGTGCGAGCTGTGTGCGAGTGTGTGATGTGAGCTGTATGTGTGTGTTATATGATAATGTATATGTGGTATGTGGTGTGTATATGTGAGTGTGTATAGTGTGCATGTCTGTGGTATGTGGCATGGTGTGTGGTATGTAGGATGTCTGGTGTGTATGGTATGTGTGCTGTTTATAAGTGTGTGACGTGTATGTATGAGTGATATGTGGTATGTATGTGTGTGGTGTATGGGGTATGTGAGTGTGTGTGCTGTGTATGAGTGTGTGTGTTATGTGATGTGTATATGTGGTATATGGTATGTGTGTATGCATGCATGTGGTATGTGACATGATGTGTGGTACAGCTGGTGTGTATGGTATATGTGTTCTGTGTGTAAGTATGTTATGCATATGTGTGAGTGTGTGTGGTGTGTGTGGTGTATGAGTGTGTGTGGTGTATGAGTGTGTGTGGTGTATATGTGTGGTGTGTGTATTATATAATGTGTGTGGTTAAGGTGTGTATGTGTGAGTGTGTGTGTGGTAGGTGTGAGGTGTGGTATATGTGTGTGTGGTATGTGTGGGAGTATGTGTGTGTTTGTATTGGAAAAGACTCCCATAATCACAGTACTTAATGTTCTGGGGGGAAAGCACTTAGAAAAGGTAAATAGTAATTTGCTATACAGATATTTATATCCTGATGGCCCATACGTGCTGGGAGAATCCACCCTCAGAGCTTAAATTTCAGTTGAGGAGCCCAGGCAGATAAGATGTGTTCATGAAAGAGTTAAAAAGCAGCAGGAGGTGGTCTGAGACTAACTTAAGTACCACGGGAGTTCAGAGGAGGGTCACCAGGGCTGAGCAGTCCTGAATGTCTGGGCGGAGCAGGGTTTGACATGGACTCTAAAGCAATGATTTTGATTTTTAAAACTTTTGCTTGCCTACCCTCTAAATGAACTTTGGCAGAAAAAAAGTCTCTTTGCCTCACACATTTTAACTTGACATCTGAAAAGTTTCATTATAAGTTTAGTTACAAAGAATACAATTTCTGCCATATTGTAAATATTGACCTTGTAGAATAAAATTACACTGCTCTCTTACATGCATCCAATGGAAGCTAAATACCATAGCAATGTTTAATTTTTCCTTTTTATTGAAACTTCACTTATATACAATAAAATGAACAAATCTTAAGCATGCAGCTTAATTAATTTTTATCAGTGTACTGGCTACCCAGATAGAGGTGGGTATACATCCAACATTCCAGGAGGCAGCTTTGTGCCCCCTCCCAGTCAATTTCCCCCCAAAGGTGACATTTCTCTGAACTCTATTATCCCTATATCATTATATATACCAGCATAAACTAGTTTTGCACGATTTCCTTTGTTCTGGCTTCTTTTGAGCAGCATGAGGTCTGTGAGATTCAAGCGTGTCACTGCAGGTAGCAGTACATTTTTTGTTGTTGCACAGTATTCCATTGAATGAATGTTTCATATTAAAAACCCTTGTCTACTCTTAATGGGCATTTTGGGTTGTTTCTAACATTTGGCTGTAAAGATACTGTGACTTTTCTTTTCTCTAAATGTTTTGTGGACATAAACACTGATTTCTTTTGGGTCTGTATCCAAGAGTGTAATTGACAGGTCATAGGATAAACATGGGAATACACTTAGTATCCACCACCATTCATCAAAAATTACCTGCACAAGTCAGAAATTTTTATTGTTTCTTTCTTTTTTCTTTTCTTTTAAAAAAATATATTTTATTGATTTTTTACAGAAAGGAAGGGAGAGAGATAGAGAGCCAGAAACATCGATGAGAGAGAAACATCGACCAGCTGCCTCCTGCACACCCCCCACCGGGGATGTGCCCGCAACCAAAGTACATGCCCCTGACCGGAATCAAACCTGGGACCCCCCAGTCTGCAGACCAACACTCTACCACTGAGCCAAACCGGTTTTGGCTCATTGTTTCTTTCTTTACCTTCTTGAACTCTTAATTCCCTTCTACTTCCTTCACAGAACTTTATCTTACTATATTTTCATGATTGAAAAACTTTATTGATTACTCTATCATATATTTTTTTTTACCCAAAATATGTATGTGAATGGAAATGGATGTTTAAAAAATTTCCTTTGACCCCAAAACTCTAAGTTATATTTCTTTTGGATTGATTTATCATACAATTCATTAAAATACCATCAACGATTTATAATTTGATAAATAACAACTAAACATAAAAAAAGTAAGATAGTATGGGAAACACTTCTTATAATGCAGGGGATAGGGAAATTGATGGCAGTGCTTCTCATACATTAAGGTGCATGAGGACCATCTGGGCATCCTACTAACATGCAGATTCTGATGAGAAGGGCTGGGTTGGAGCCTGAGATTCAGCATTGCCATCGCTGTGGGCCCATGGATTGCATTTCGGGTAGCAAGGTCCCTAGATTAAAGACCAGCAGTCTACATGGTCCATTTTTTGGTGCCCGGACATCTTGACATGTAGGAACTCTGTACCATAGTCAGATTCCGGATGAGGGAGAAGTTGTTCTTCTGAAAGGAGGGAGAAGGCCTGCTATGAAGAGAGAAGTGGGAAAAGGGGTGGTGTCATTGAGACTGAGCCACAGTCTCAGGCAGAGCAGAAGAGTGGGGATGGAAACAGGTCTCCAGCTGGTTCCCTTAGAGCTCTTCCTGCCCGCGGCTCTTTGGGGAGCTTCGTGTACAAAGGGCCGGCTGCTTTGAAGAACACTTCTCTCAAGGATGCTAAGATGGTGCCACCACCCTTTCAGACAGGGTGCCCATTAATGCAGGGATTGGGCATTTCGGAAACTGATTTGGATGGTTTTACAGTGTACTGGGGGCAAATCCCAAGAAGTTAGGTTTGGGGTTGGGTGGTAGATGGCCTTGAATCCATTTTATGGCGTTGGGTTTAATACTCAGGCAAAGGGGGCCATGGGCTGATTTGAGCAGGGCACTGAGCAGAGTGCTGTGGGGAGACTGATCTGTTGAGCAGCTCATGGAAGGCTGGGAAAGAGTTGATGCAGTGACAACACTGTGGGCTTGACAATAGGCTGGCTGTGGTTACTGGGATACCCAGGCTGTGGTTTTTATCTCCACTACCTTCCAGTCTCCACCCTCACCCCTAGCTTTTGAACTTTTGCCCGGTTTGCTCCGTCAGTATTTCCTGACGTGTGGGCTGCATTCCTCTAGTGGTACCTGAGAAGTTTATGCATGGAGCTCAAGATAATTCAGAGTGGAACACCGGCATGGCCTTAAGTAACACTGAAACCCAAGAGCAAAAAGCATTCTCTCTCAGCCCTTTCTCAGTCCCAAACACCTTTCTTTAACACCACTCATGTTCCTGTTTTTCTTTTGTTGGTAGCGGGCAGTTTAGGCTTAGGGCCTTTGATAAGCAGTCATCTCTAGTCTTTACAAAATACTTGTTTTCATTGAATTAATTTTTTATGTATCAGGATGGCAAGCGGTCCTAGTTTCCCCTTACTATAGTGACATAAAACTGTTCATTTAAAATAACCTCATTTGAGTAAAAAAAAAAAAAGTGAGCCAGTTTACTAGATGATATGGCAGAAATAACAATGCTGGAAGCAATATGCAGTGGTTTGACTTTGGGTAAGACCATGTGGCAAACCCTGGCAAGTGCCAGGTCATTGTGCCAATGACCCAAGAGGCTCTGGGTGGTCCCCACCAGCCTAACGTCCCATCCGTTCTTTGCCTCTGCCTGCAGAGATCCGCACGCAGCTGGTGGAGCAGTTCAAATGCTTGGAGCAGCAGTCGGAGTCCAGGCTGCAGCTGCTACAGGACCTCCAGGAGTTTTTCCGCCGGAAGGCTGAGATCGAGCTGGAGTACTCCCGCAGCCTGGAGAAGCTGGCTGAGCGGTTCTCCTCCAAGATCCGCAGCTCCCGGGAGCACCAGTTTAAGTGAGAAGGGGTCAGGGTCCGGGGCGAGGGGGAGGCGGCGGTGGGGTGGGTGAGCACTTGGCCACAAAGCTGAACGGAGGCAAGGACTCATCAGAGGGGGGATGGCTGCCTCTGAGGCCCTGGGTCCGCAGGACACTACACTTCCAAGCCTCAGTCTTCCTTTGTGGAGGGTGAAGAGAGAGTAGTTCCTCCACATAAGGATGCGGTAGGGCATACATCAGCATCCCAAGAAGACTGCTTTCACAGACAGTAAGTGCTCAGTAAATTGTTGCTGTCACTCTCATCCGACTAGGCACTGTGGGAGCTAGCCTCCATTTGGGCCAAGGTGATTCCCCACCTCCCTTCAGGGCATCCTGGCTCTGTCCAGTTCTCTTGTCCTTCAGGGTCAGCCAGTCCACTTCCAAATCCCTTCAGCACAAGGACCTCAACATTTCTTCTCCATGGAACGGATGCTCAAGCATTCCTCTTCCTTACTCCCTGGGGGCCCATGCTGCCTTATTACTTACCTGAGACACACAGACTCTCGGTGCTAATTTCTTACACCCCACGTGCTGCGTTCCTGGAGGCCTGGTCCTCTCAGGTGTGTGGGGTCTCTGAGTCCTCCAGCTACAAAACTCTCCTAGTGCAGGCAGAAGCCACAGCCTCCCCGGGAGGCATTCACCTGCGGGCAGGACCACTTTGCAGCCCTTTTCCTCTGCCACGCTCCCCAGATGTTTCCCTCTTTGGAGCATCTCTCCAACAAATGGCCCTCAGCCCCCGGAGACCAGAGACTTACTACAACGCACCAGACCTGCTCCTTCTGCCTCTGTGTTTAATCTCTTTTCTCCCTTTTGTATATCTTTAAATTGTGATAAAATACACGTAACATAAAATGTACCATCTTAACCATTTTTAAGTGTGCAGCTTAGTGGCATTTCTACGTCTTCAGCACCATCCATCTCTAGAACTTTTCTTCTTCCTAAACTGACACTCTGTACCCACTGAACAATCACTCCCCCCTTCTTCCTCCCTGAGCTCCCCCAGTCCTGGGCAGCCACCATTCTACTTTCTGTCTCTATGGACCTGACTACTCTGGGGACCTCATTCAAATGGAATCACACAGTACAGGTCCTTTGTGACTGGCTTATTTTGCTTAGCCTAATATCCTCAAGGTTCATCCATGTTGTTGCATGTGACATAATTTCCTTCCTTTTAAAGGCTGAATAATGTTCTGTTTATGTACAGACCACATTTTGTTTATTCATTCATCTGTTGTTGAATGCTTGGGTTGCTTTTGCCCTTCTTTGTAATTTTGCATTACACTCTGGGGCAGGGAGCACGGGTCCTTTAAGCCCCTCTAAACATCTCCCTCAGTCTGGGCCACAGCATTTGAACACTTGCTTTGGTGCCTTCTTCTCTTGACATTTTGGAATAAGAAATAGCTTTATTAAAAGGCAAAGATTCATTACTCTCTTGCAAATATCATGCTTGTTTTTCTACTCGGCCGCATCTCCTTAAACATTCACTATTAATAACTTTCTCCCAGGCACTGTCGAAGTCCTTTCACATACAGAATCTCATTTTTCTGATATATGTTTTGGATAAATTTTGTGATGTTCTTTTCTCTCCAAGTGACAAAAGTAAAATACTCATTGTATATAATTTAGAAAGTACAGAAAAATAGGAGGGAAAAAAATACACAGTCCTGATGGTCAGAATCAACCGCTGTGCACATTTTGGTGCCTTTTCTCACCTGTCTTTTCCTAATAACTACAGCAACAATAATTCATTGAGCAAGTTAACTGAGCATTTCTTTTGTGCCAGGTAGGTATTACTATCTCTCTTAGAGATGAAGACAGTGAAATTTTGAGGAAGCAGACCAGCCATTGGAGATGGATTCGAACCGTCACTATGGTTCTGCCTCTTTGCCCTGAGACAGGAAGGGTCTGGGCGGAGCCTGGGAGCAGCTGTGGAATCCGAACACTCCCCTAAAACCACAGGCACCAACACACACTGGGAAGCACATGCTGGGCAGCCCAGGTCTCAGGCTGGGCTGTCACTGGAGCCATCCAGGCCTGTGTGGCCTGTCTGGAGCCTCCGCTCCTGCCCCCTCCCCTTCCTGTTGGTTTGGAGTCAGATCCCTTCCCATTCTCAGTGTGAACAGGGAGAGGGGAAAGGCAGGGTCGCCTGTTCCCTTGCATTGCCTGTAATGAGCTTGGCCAGCCCCGCACGGGTTCATTAACCGGAGCCACCAGACGGAACAGGAGCCCCAGCTGGCACTCGGGCTAAGCAGGCTGCTTGACAGAGTATGAAAGTCTAATTAGGGAGTGGGCCAGGCCAGTGCAGCTGGTGTGGGCTTCTGCATGATGCTGATGTGACTGCAGAGCCCCCAGTGGGTTTTGGAAACAGGAATCTCGAGGGTATGTCTGGGCCTGCCCTTTGACCCCCAGGCCAACCAGCACTGACCCCCTGGCTGCCTCTTCTTTGGAGCCTCACCTAGGGTCTTAGTCCTGGCTTTCCAGAGAAGCCCTGTCTTTCTTTCTCACAGAAAATCCGTTTAAGGGTGTCTCTGTCTTCTAGGTAGCCTCTCAAAGCCTTGAGGGCAGGGTCCAGGTCTTGTCATTTTATTCCCACTGCAATCAGCCCAGTGCTGGGCAGAGATGGGGTGTTTAATGAGTAGGAGAAAGGGAGGGAGGGGATTTCCTCAGTCTATAAAGTCCACTCTGGCTGAGAAGTTTGGTTCAGAGAGGGAACTGGTTTGTTCAAGATCTTACAGCACATTAGTGGCAGAACTGGGATGGGAACCATCTAAGTCTGTTTGGCTGCTATAAAAAAGCACTATCAATTGGGTGGTTTATAAACAGAAATCTATTTCTCACAGTTCTGGGGGTTGGAATTCCAAGATCAAGGTGCTAGCATGGTTGGGTTCTGATAAGAGCTACCCCCCCCCCTTTTTTTTTTTTGGTTGGTAGACTGCTAATTCTCCTTCTACTCCAAAGTGGCAGAGAGATGAAGCAAGCTCTAGTGACTGCCTAAGGGCACTGATCCCATTCATGGGGGCTCCACCCTCGTGACTTCATCCTAATTACCTGCAGAGGCTCCACCTCCTAACACCATCAGATTGGGGGTATGGTTTTAACATGACTTTTGGGGAACATAATAGGAACTCAGGTCTCTTGACTCCAGTGTTCCTCCTTTTGCTGTGAGCCCTACCGGCTCCCTACCCACGTAGACAATAAAAACATTTACAGTTGCCCAGGAGGTGCTGGGTCCAGGGCTAGACTTACCTGGGTGGCATGCAATTAAAAAAAGACTCAAATGATGGCTCTTAGGGTTTGCCTGGGGCAGGTAGACTGGTGAGAGAATAATAACATCACATGTTTCTTTTCTACGGTCACATGTTTCTATTCTACATTCTAATCACATCCTTTTCAGAGAACCCTGCCATCTTTGCTCTCTTATAATCCTGATGGGTAAGCCAAGGGCATAGAGAGGAGTCAGTGGTTTTATCTCAAGGCAGCTGAGCACCAGACAAGCCGAGTGGCTTATCTCACAAAGGACCCCAAGCAAGTTGTTGAGTGGGAAAACCCACAATTCCCTACTTCCAAGCTCAGGCTCCTCTCGGTAGGAAGCCATGCCAGTCGTGCATTTATTTAAAATGCATGTAATGAGGACCTCTTTTTTTCTTGTGTGCTGTGCTGAAGACACAAAGATGAACAAGACACAGTCCCTGCTCTCAGATATTCTCTCTTATCTCGAGAGATGGAGCACGTGGATTGGGGAATGCCCATGATTGGTATGGTTGGGACAGGTGCCCAATTCCTGTGGCTCTGCACTTAGAGCCTGCCACCTGCTTGCTCTCCAGGCCTCAGCATTTAGGTGTCACTTTCTTAGGAAACTTACCCTGAGTCTGACCTGGTGCTTCCTCTGTGTGCCCATCATATTCTGTACCTGTTGATGTGCTTATTCATGTAATATTTTTGAGCCTCTGCCATGTGCCAGGTCCTGATTTGCAGTGGTGAACAGGATAGACTTGGTTCCTGCGTGGTGGAGTTTAGCCTCCAGTGGAGCAGAGAGATGAAGAATCAAACATAAAGAATGAAAAGAAAGACACTGTGTCATCCATTGATTGCTATGATGGAAGTAAACGTAATATGCTATGTCCTGGTTATCAATTCTCTGTAACAGCAGTACCTCCCAAACTTAACGTATCGCATGTTTCAGTGGGTCAGGAATTTGGACAGGGCTCAACTGGGTGATTTTCCTGCTTTGTGTGGCATCAACTGGAACCATCTGGCGATATTCAGCTGGCAAGCTGGGCTGGGCTGGAAGGTCCAAGACGGCTTTAACCATGTGCTTGGCACTTTGGTGGGGATGGCTAGAAGGCTGGGCTCGGCTGGGTTGCCTCCCTCTCCATATGGTGCCAGGGTCCCTCTAACTAGTGCTTCAGCCAGCTGTTGGGCTTCAGACATGGTATCCCAGGGCTTGAAGAGAGAGCAAGGAGGAAGCTGTAGTCCTCTTTAAGGCAAGGCCTGGAATGGGCATATCATCACCATCAGCATCAAGGGGATAGGAAGCAAAGCCCACCTCTAGTTGGAGGAATGTCAAAGGATTTGCAACCCTCTTTAGTCCTCCACACTGAATGGCAGTCAGGGAGGACTTCTGGAGGCAGTGGCATTTAAGCAGAGACCTAAGGAATAGCCATGGGACAGTGTGAGAGGGAGAGAGCCCAGTGGGGCTGGAACTGGTGATGGGAGTGGAGTGGGAAGTCACTGAGGCATCATAAGTAGAAAGTATTTCTATTTTTAAAAGATTGCCCTGAATTGAAGGGGGATAGAGTGGAGCTGAGGAGACCAGTGGGGTGGTGGGAGAATTGCTCTCCACACAGCTGATGATGGCCGCTTGAGTGACAGCAGAGCAGATGAAGAGGAGTGGAAAGACGCTGAGAAATCTCTCAGAGGTAGAATCAGGGGAAAGAGGAATCAAGGATGTCTCCCACTTCTCAGGTTAGCAATGGAAGG